AGAAAAGTAACTCGAAATTTCGAGTTATATTTCTCGAAATTTCAAGAAAATAACTCGAAATTTCGAGTTATGGATACTAGCTTTTTTTTTTTTTTTAGTGGCGGAAACGGGCTTCCATATGAAGGACTCTCAGATCGTGAGAAAAAAAATTCTCTGCTCTGATGAAACAACAAACTTTTTGACCTGAATTCCAAACATGATGTGTGGAGGAAATTTGGCACAACTCACCACCTGACCAATGCCCTTCCTACAGTCAAGCATGGAGGTGCCTGCATCATGCTGTGGGGATGTCTTTTGGCAGAAGGAACTGGACTAGTCAGGGCTCAACAGCTGAATGTGAGTGTGCTTCATAACTGTCACATTGATTTTTGCTAATCAAGCTTGTCACTATCAGTTATATTAAAAAGTGTTTGATCTTTTGTTAGTGGGATGCTAATGACTTCAACTGTTGTTAGAATCAAATTTGAATACAGGCGATATTACACACAAGTAAAGAAAAAGAAGAGATATTTTGGCCATAATCAATAAACCTGAATTAGATGCTGTGAAAATTTAACATTTACAAAACTAATAATTTAAACAGAAATCATATAAGTAACCAGCCAAGTTTTGATTTTCTTTTCAGAAAATGTGTGCAGAACATGACATTGTGTAATCTTTCTGAAAATGCCCCCAACAGATATGTAATATCTTAATTTAATGTTGTATTTAGTGCTTGGTGAGGTTACTGTCAGCTCTGTGTTCACTGGTCTGTGTCACAGTTTCTTCCTTTTTAGCAGCTGCAGTCAGTTCCTGCTGTAACAGCTCAGTGTCTCTGCAGTTTGACTGAGGGAGGTTTTTGTACGACTACAAATCACTGTGTGAACACCCCACCGCTGTGGTAACTCTGACAGTAGTAAACTGCTGCATCTTCAGCCTGAACTCCACTGATGGTCAAAGAGAAGTCAGAGCTGCTTCCACTGCCACTAAATCGAGATGGTGTTCCTGACTGAAGTGTTTTTGCCCATTTTATTAGGAGCTTTGGAGTCTGTCCAGACTTCTGCTGATACCAGAATACATAATCATCATCATCAGAATCTCTGTAAACAGCTTGGCTGGTCCTACAGGTCAGAGTCACAGTGGATCCAGGAGTAGATGTCACTACTGGAGGTTGAGTCACAGTCACCTGACCGCTGCCTCCTGCAGACAGAAAACAAATCATTCATTTATCAGCAGAAATCAATGAGAGAAAAAGCAGCACATCATGTTTGAAATGTTGCTGAGTGAATGAACCTGTAAAACAGCAGCAGGTCAGCGTCCAGATGAGGATGGTGATGAGAGTCATGGTGGTTGTGCTTTCTGCTGTGTTGACTGACAGATG